GTTGCGAAGTCCTGAGCACGCCCTAAAGTGGCACCAGCCGAGACAAGAGGTGCACTTGACTGATGTCACGTTACGGTATATTCTCTACTGACAAACAGAGCAGATTTTCGGAGGGACTAGGAGTTGCCGGCGGCGGTGTGTGGGTGCTATTGTGTTTGTTTGTGTGTCTATTATTGTGCTGTGTTGGGGTGTGGGTGTGTTGATTGTCTGCTGCCCAGGCGGGTGGTGGTTGCCGTGGAGGCGGTCCGGTTCGCATAGCAGTTACGGAGGTGACTCCACCCGTCACAGGCATTGCACCTGACCGAGGTGGAGTTTGTATGCAGTCGTCTCTGGCATATGCAGCAAGTTTAGATTTCTGGCCCTGGGTTTGACTCTATACCAGCCCTGAGCAGAAGGGTACGGAGAAGATGTAGCCTGTTTTAGCAGAGTCAATTGTAATTAAAAATGCTTTATTTCAACAATTATAGCTTAACCTAACAATTTGAGGTGTGCACGCTATCTCGTACATTCGATATTGATTCTCCTGTCATCTTCTATTTCCCTGATTCATAACTTCCTGCCAAGGCGTTGCCAGATTGGTATTATCTCACATAAGCTGGAAGTACGTGACTACTTAAGGATACAACAGTTCTCCCTCACTTATAAGGAAGTTACATATTTCAACATCTAGCATAATTATGTAAATACTGTGGTGGTTTCCTTATCCTGCCCGATAATGGCCGAGTCGGTTGGCTTTGAGTTGACTCAACCTCTGCTTGTGGTTCCCCTGTAACTGGCTCCCCCTCTTGCGTAATTTTCGTAAACATTGCTGGAGTGACGGTGTCGTTGGATGGTGTATCCTTCACTTGCCTTGGTTCTCTTATTGGGGTATCGAGCACTTGTAACCCTATTTCTTGCTCTCGGCAGGATTGATTAGAATGAGATTCTTGACCTGGAGGTAATGTGCTGCTTCCAACGTCTGTAGCGCAAAGTTGATCGATATGCCGCTTGAATACGAATCCATCGTCAAGTTTCACGATGTAATGAAGATGCCCCAACTTTTTCAATATAACGCCAATTTTCCAGTGCGGTTTGTTTGCGGTGTAATACCTGGCTTGTACTCGGTCTCCCTCACTTAAGCATCTGACCGAACTACGTAATGTTGACGATTTTTGCAACTTCGTAGGTTTTATGGCATCTAGACGTGTTTTTAGTTGTCTGCCCAAATATTGTTCTGATGGAGTGTTTCCATTTCGCAGTGGCGTTGCAAGGTACTTGAATAAAATGTCTCTTACCTTTGTTGGCATAGGTAGCGGATCATCGGCCATAGCTTTCAAACGTCGTTTTAGTGTCTGGACATTCCTTTCAGCCAATCCATTTGTAGATGGATGACCCGGAGCTGTAAACTTCTGGAAAATTGCTGCTTCGTTGCAGAATGTTGTAAATTACTCGCTGGTGAAAATCTTGGCATTGTCGGATACCATAACGTCAGGATATCCATTCCTTGCAAATATGTTGCTTAGTATTTCAATCGTTCACGTAGATGTAGGGGCTAATTTACATACCCCCACTTCGGCCCACTATGATTTTGCGTCGATGACAACTAAAAAATTATGTCCTTGAAATGGGCCAGCGTAATCAATGTGTATGCACTGCCAATTGTGGCTTGGTTCTTCCCAATGGTGAAGAGTTACCTTTACAGGACTATGCCTTGTTGACGCACAAACAGCACAGGCACGCACGTATTCTTCGATATCTTTATCGATTGAAGGCCAATAAACATATCGGCGCGCTAACTGTTTCATTTTCGTTGTACCAATATGTGTGTAATGCAATTCTTCTAGAACCCTTGCAACGATGCTGGAATAACGACCCTCGGACCTTTAAATAAGATGTCCGAATCAATAATGTACTCTGTATCGACCTTCCTCGAACCACGCATTTCGGATATAATTTTTGAAAAGGTTGCATCTTTTCCTGTCTCTGAGCGAATTGTGTTGAAGTTCAATTTTGTCGAGTTTATTTGATTTATAGTTGCAAAACAATTAAGATGGACTTCTTCATCTACGAAATTCCGTTTGCAATTGTCTGTATTTAATGGTGCTCTCGAAAGGCAATCGACGTTGACATTTTCTTCGCTTTTCTTAGTGATAACTTTATAATCATACCCCGTTAGAAACGCGGCATAACGCTGAAGACGCGCAGAAGTCATTTGTGGTAATTTTGATGAAAAATTCTGGACAATGGCTGATTACACTGGACCACAAATTTCAACTTTTTCTCTTTACCAGAAAC